GGCCTAACTTTTGTCAATAAAAAATATCGATTTATATGTAACTTGGCATGCTCTATCTAATGAGCATAGTGAGATCCACCCGGCCAAAACTTTTGTATAAATGGGCGGACCTGCGTGGAAACACCCATCAGTCAAATTCTGAATCTTTTTTTCTTCATTTTGCACGAAAAGTTCAGCAAGTAGAGGTCCAAGTACACTACCCATAGCCACTCCTTCACGCTGAATGAAAATTTCACTATAAAAACGAAATGGAGCATCACAAATAGCCAACTTCAAAAGATTTTTCATCTGCTCTCGACTATAAGGACAAGTTGGCTGCTGTTTTTTATCTTTAAAAATTAAATCAAGAGCGCAATCAATTGCTTCGAAAACAGGAACTTGAGTGTACAATGACTCAATGTCGAAGCTGCACGTTCTTTGATTTGATTGAAATTGAAAATCTTTTACCAATTTAACGAAATGAAAAGAATCCTTCGCGTGTGATGAAACATAAGCAGGTCTGTCAAGATTAATAATATTCGCAAGGTGCTTCGATAATTCATAACTGTAACTTCCTATCATAGGAAGTTCCTATTATAGGACGTAAAGGATAGTTATTTTTATGAATTTTAGGTAATCCATAAAATGTTGAAAATGGGGCACCCGTTGAATGTAAACGCATGAATAATGATGTTTCTATTAACCTTTTATCATGAAGAGGAATTCGAATGTAATCATTCATTTGCTTCTCTCTATTCTGTAGATGTAATACACCAGCCCTAGGTGTAACCAATTCAAATTGATCTAATTCTAAGATTTCACGAGCACGTCTGACATAATCATTCTTGTCAAGGATAACGATAGAATTTCCTTTATCAGCCTTCGTAACAACGATGTCCATATTCGATTTCAATGATTGAATGGCTTCATACTCAGCATCACTAACGTTCTTGATATTTTTACGCTTTGAAACTTATATAGCGCCAAATCCGGGCATATAGCGCCAAATCACTCTCATGAACTTCTCATTTAGTTTTTCTGATCCATTCTTTTATGGTCACTCGAGTATACTCGTTATGAGTTAAATAACTTTTCTTGCAGCATGTTCCCGAAGAAAAAGCCGGGTAAAACATTGTACAATAACTAAGAAAAGTCTTATGTTTCTTTTCACGAAGTCATATTAAAAATGATTTCTCACACACTTTTGTGCTAGATTTTGTCTGCCGTTCTTTTAACTGGTTTTTCTTCACAGCCCCGAAAGTATCGGGATTGAGTATAATTTGTTTAAAGAGCAAGTCGACGCGTACTAATTTCACTATGAGGCATTTTGCACATTTTGCTAAAAATGAATAAAGTAGAAAATTTTGCACATTTCGAAAAAGATGTGTTTTTCTCGAAAAATGACATCTTCGCAGTATTTCGTATTTTTCGACCGGAAGGAAGTATTTGCAAAGGCTAAAAGGTAGTTTTTCGTGATCAGCAGCTCACACTCTATCAAATGGTGTAAAAAAGGGCAAAAAAAAAATTTCACTCGAAATTCGCATTGCCGGCACCTTACATAAAACTAAAAAATTTTATGAAACTTGTAAAAAGTTTCATAAAACGTTTAGCATGGCTTTCAGAGAAAAATTCTCTTAATTAATTAGCACATGTCTCCGAGGGACCTATGGTTGTTAATGAAATTGGTTTAATTGATAAATTAAGGTAACTGCAGATCTCTCTAAGAGGGTTGTTACAGTAGTATATTAGTATAAGTCTTATAGTGACATATGTTGAACTGCACATTATTGTTTGTCTCTCAGTGAGTTATTCAAAGAATTCTAAAATGAAAATAGAAGTCAATATCTGTCGCTGAACTTCTTAATATCAACAGAATATGTCTCTGAGGAACGTATAAGTCTCTGAGAGGGTGATTCTTTCCTTTTAAAATAAAACATAGAGTTTTTATTCAATTGATTTAGTTAGAAAATGTCACTGAGCGACTCATAACTCACAAAGTTACACATATCTCTCCCGTTCAGATATACGGATATATCTGATACAAACTCACTACGCTTCTTAATAGACAAACTCCCCGATTTAAGAAAGTAGGCACACAGCAACAGCCGCACTTTAAACTAATAACTATAGTAACGTTTATCACCATTCAACAACTTTTAGTGTACTCAGTATAACTAATTTGCATGCAATTTCTACGGATGAATTTTTCCTCCTCTAAGAAGGGAGACCTCTCCGTGGTGAGGAGGAGAAACGTTGATGTTTAACATCAACGGCTAACGTCCCTTCAAAATTGAACTTTAATTTAGTGTAGTGTGGCTCGTGCCTTGATTATGATTTTTGATGCTTTTTTAATTGTTCTACACCTTCATAATTACAGAAAATGGCATATTTTGTAGCTGTCAATGTCTATGATGCATCTGTGCTATATTTTCAAAAAACTTAATTTTTTGAACGAAAACCGGGATTTTCTGCAAAACCTGTGAAAAACAGTTTTGCAAAAATTGGTTTTGACTTGGCAGTCGGATAGAGCATGGTTGATAACCTATTCAAACATATTTTTCATTATTTTTACACTTGTATCCGTCGTTTAAAAGCACATTTCCGCTTGCTCTAGCCAAATATGCCCACTGTGCAGGGTGTCTATGTTGACAAGAGCGGATATGTCTATGTTGTATCGAAAGATACCTCAAAATATATATCTAAATATCCACCAGGCATCAATCAAACTGCAACATTAATTGGGCCGATTTCAAATAGCAGTAGCAGCAGCTACACAATTTTTGGCGATCTGGCGGGTAACTTGTATGCCAACGACTATGATAAGTACATACTTAACAGATTCAATTTAAGTGGAGGAAGTTACTCAGGGCCAACGATAGTTGCCGGTACTTACGGTTCAATGGGAACTGGACCAAATCAATTGGCTCAACCAGATAACATTTATGTAGACGCTAGCTACGTTGTTTATGTAACCGACACTACAAACAGCCGTATTCAGAAATGGGTACCGCCATACACTGCTGGTGTCTCGGTAACTGGAGTTGGCTCGTTATACCATGCGGAAGGGATTGTCGTAGACCCGTGTAATGGCAATACTTATGTCGCCGCTTGCAAGTATTTCCTCCAGGTAATCTGACGGGGATAACGGTCGTTGGTAATACAACACTATCATCTCCACTGGGCGTAGCGATCGATTCAAAGTCAAATTTGTATGTTACTGATCTCACTAATAATTGTGTATTCAGATTCAATCGACTATGTAAGTACGTTTTCTATGTTGTAGACAAATGAGCTAGAAGAGGACACGCCGTTCGGTAACCAATACTTGGTTGGAAGTTTAATGGGCGGAAAGAACTTTTGAAAAAGTTTCAAAGATCGAGCTTCCAGAGGATCTTTAATAAACCAGCTCCGTTCTCAGAATACTAATATACAATGTTAGCAATCTTTTTGCAGGCCGAGATCGCCCATGCGTTACTCGACAAAATTAAGCAGGTCCCGGCTATCCAACTATCGGCGTACGGATAGGGCTCCCTTTTGCCGAACATGTGTTTTTCTCCGAGCAGACATCTCTGGGAATCTCGAAATGCCATGGAATATATGTAATCGGCTATGAGTATAGTAATCGATTTATGAGCTGTCTTGAGCGTCTTCTGCAAATTTGCTGGAGTCAACATGAGATTTGATCGAGGGATAAGGATTTTAATTTTTGCTATCAACGGGCGAAAAACCGGTTTTTCATAAAAATGCATCTGACGAAGGTATATTCATTTCTACACAAAAACAAATGTTCCCAATTATGCTCAGCGTAGTCGATTACCTATATTCCGTGGCATTTCGAGATTCCTAGAGATGCCTCCTCGTAGATACACACGTGCTCGCAGGGAAGCCGTGTCCGAACGGCGATAGTTGGAGAGCCGGGGCTTGCATAATTTTGTAGAGTGACGTCCGTACTATATAGGCACGCAAAATATTGCTAATATTGTATGTTAGTTTTTGGAGGACGGAGCTGGTTATATCGAAAAAGAAACGATTTACTGCATTGTACGACATTCAATGAATTGATCGTAAGAAAGTGTCTGACAAGTTTTTTGGTGATATTTATACATCATTCGATAGAGCACATCGAGTTCTCTATGAGACATTTTCTCCGCTTTATAATGAACTAAGAACTGTATCGTGATTTATTATCATACTTATTATAGCTTATAAAAATTAAGAAATTAATCTGGTGGATTCTACGATCATACAAAAAAACAAGGAAGACAACGATCAACTTTAGAAATAATCTATTTTTAATCATACATTCATCTGTTGTAACGTTTTTACAGTTTGACCTACAAAAGTTCAGAGAAAAATTGCATGTATACAGTTCAAATTGCAAGTTTAGAATAGACATTCTTGATGAATGGGTGAGTCAAGGAAGGGAAAAAAGCACAAATACATTGGATTAGTGTTAGGTTGTACCAGAGTTAAGATTATAAATGCTTGTTTAAGTGTTTATTATAAAAGAACTGAACGTAACAGAAAATCCCATAACGTAACCAAACAACACATCCTACATTACATCATGGAATGTTCTAGAATATTGTGTCATGCTGGGACATTTTAGAACACCACATCATCTTATAATATTCTGGAATATTGCATCATATTAGAATATTGCAGAATGTTGTATTAGCTTCTTAGGTCTTATGACCTAACAAAAAGAGCTCTGCAAAACGTTTAGTCCTTTCAACATCCAAAAAAAATAAATATGTCAAAACTCTCAGAACGTATTAACACAATATAGCACAAGACTTATAATTCCGATACCGTAATCACTAGCAAGATAGTAAACTAAATACTTGCACTCGATTATTACCTCTATCAACAACAAATAAGCTATTATCTGAACCAAATCTCAATGTTTCAGGACCCTTCAATAAATTTGCTGTTGTACCTGGTGCACCAGCTGCGGAACCAATAATTGTATCACCACTTTCAGCTGATGGTAGCCATCGTTGAATTCGATTATTAGCTAAAACAGAAAAACAGACACAAAGAAAATAAAAGAAGTGAGTTTTACGTAACGAATCAAACAGAGTAAGAATACTTACATCCATCAGCTATATATATATTACCACTCTTATCCACAATAACATCCCGTGGGCCATATAATTGATTTGTTCCATTACCAGCCGTATTATTACCAGCTACAACTACTCCGTTGGAACTTTGGGTTGACCCTGGAGGAAATTTCATTATACGATGATTGTTTGTATCAGCAACATACAAATTGCCAGTTACAGAATCATAATAGAGACTGTTCGGCTGATTTAGTTGATTTAAACCAGTGCCAGATCCGTTACCTCCTAAGGAAAAGTTATGTTTAGAAGACGAGTAATCGAAATCTAATTATTTACATACGTAACCAGTGTGTCCTACTAACCCGCTACAATTACAGGAGTGTTACTATTGTATGTCAGTTTTAGTACTGAATGTTCACCTTCCATGGCCATGTATAAATCATTTGTCAAAGGATCGAGAAAAATATGTTCCGGATTAGTATGACCTGACATTTTCAATGTACCACTTGTAGTTGAATCTGAATTTGGAGGAAATTGTAATACTAAATCGCATCCAGGATCCGATGTATACATGTTACCAAAACTATCCATTGCTAGGCCAGCAACAATACTAACCTGATTGAGGTTACATCCATTTCCATTATTACCAGCGTAAATAGTGCCTGTTGAGCTACCTACGGGCCATTTCAAGACACGAAAATTTGTTTGCTCACCAATATACATTATATTATTTAACGCATCAAGATGCAATGCAATTGGACCATTTAATAGAGAAAGATTAGCACCACTGACACCTACCACGCCAGCTACAGTTACACCACTTTGATTCCATGGGAATTGTGAAGACAAAAGACAGACTAAAAAAGGATAGAAAAATTTATCGTAAGTCTGTCAAATCCAACATAACGCCATACCGGTGGCGGCGCGAAGAAGTTAAAGCAGGCGGGGGAGGGGGGGTAATTTCAAAAACCGGAGTAAGTTCAAAAAGATTTTCTGGCAAGTTTGATAAAGTAAAAGAAATAATACAAAATTTGAGATTTTTTCATTTCGGATTTACAGTTGTATAATCCGTTACCTCCACACTTTGCAGACACAGAAAGAAAACAGCATTTTGCATGACAAATTACTTGACATATTCTGTCAAGAAGTATCTAACTTTTCGTACGGAGAATGAATTTGTTAAGTGTCAAATAAAACAGTATTACTGCCTGATAACCGTATAATTTAAATGTGTATTTTGTTATATCTATCCATTGTTATTCATTAGCCTGTTCTGTCTATTTAGTCCAGTCAAGTTTATAGCAGAAAACAGAACCACTACACTAATTTTTTTCGCATCTTCTCAATAAATCAAGTGAACAAATCTCATAATCATATACGACTACACTGTAAAGGAGAAAATTATTTATAGAAAATGCTCGGCGAATTTCACAGAATCCATATATAAATTCTCGAGCATTTTCTAGTTTCTAGAAAATCGATCGAATTTCTATAAATAATTCCCAAGAATGTGGAAATTCATTTTATTTTTTCATTTTATTTTTTTAAAAATTAAGAAATTATTTTATTTTGTTTTGCAATGTTGAACTTATAAAAATACGAACAGTATGTAGATCAGCTGTTCAATCGCACTCGGATAATCCCAAGAAAAATTTATCAATTAAAAATGCATGATTTGTACTTTATAGATTTTATTATACGATGTCAGGACAACGATAGTACTTAATGTAGTTGTTTAAATTCTTGTGCTTTATTAGACATGTATTTATATCTGTAATATCAACTCTGACGTCCTATTCCACAATACAAATTAAATAAAACTAACTTGACGGTTCTTTTTCCTGTTTCTTCTTTTTTTCTTAACTCTTTAATAATGATACGGACACTGAGTGAATGAATCATTTCCGTATCAAGTGTATTGCTATACCGTCTTGTTCCGTATCATTATTAAAGAGTTAAAAAAGAAAGAAGAAACAGGAAAAAGAACCATCAAGTTAGTTTTATTTAATTTGTATTGTTTCGAAGAGTATATGTACAGTTAGTATGTAAATGTAATAGTCTGTCTCAAGCAGTCATTTGTCGGAACGTCATGAATAATTTGAAAATTAATTTGGGAAGAGATTCACTATGTCAAATAACAAAGCCAATCAAGACGAATTTGGGTTACCAAGCTCCGGTATCGGCATATCAAAAGTAAAAAATTAGATTATCATTAAAGGAAAAAGATAAAAACATATTAACGCCAATACGTGACAATGTTCCGATTGCTAAGATATTTTAAACAATAAATAATATGACTTTGTCTTTGAAAACAAATTGAAAGAATAAAAGAAAAAATTTACATCTCAAATAAAATTGTCACTCTTTCTTTCCTTTAAACAAACTACTAAGCACCCACACATAGTATCTTTCTCATGAAAAATGAACGAATATGCACAACTTTGTGAAACCGGTAAAAACCGGTGAAAACCGACCGGTCCAACTCACTCAGCCGGTCCAGTACGGCACCGGCCCGGTTACAACTCTGCTTTAAATACACAACCACCAGTCGAAATCATCTTGATTGCATCTGTCTTAGAAAAAGTCTTTGATAAGCTCTCATTTCCAATAATTCTATCGCGTTTAGCGCTGTTAGATTTGTGACTGAATGTGCTAAAATAGATTACTACTTGTTTGACAAACCGCTATCAGCGAGTTTATCTGCACCTACGCCAGTACTCATCGGGGTAGTACAAGGTTCAGTTCTTGGTGCCCTACGTTTCCGCATCTTCATAAATGAACTATCAACTGTAGTCAAATTACCAGCAGACAGCATACTTTTTCCCGATAATTGTACATTCTACTGTCCAATGACCTCGTCAGATATGTCAGCGGTATGTCAAGAGAATATCGAGAAAATATGTAACTGGTGTACCTCAAATTTGATGTCTTTAAACGCAAATAATGTGTCTGGATGTTTATCTCTAATATACCAAGTAGAGCCAATCATTTACAATTCACACTGAGTGACGGTACACCCATAACGCACGAACCTTCCCTTATACTCTTAGGCCTTAAAGTCAGCTCTAATCTGAGATGGCGTGAACATATTGAAGATATTGTACTAAATTGTAGAAAACGACTAGGCGCTGTGTTCAGGCAATTCAAAGATGTACCCTCTTCAGTTCATCTACAAAGGAGTAGTCCGCATAAGACTTGAAATCGGTCCACTAAATTATTGTTATTTTATTGCCTCAAAGTATCCAGAATTCATCAAACTTATCTTATTCAGTCCTTTCGACTTTATAAAGTCGAAAGGAC